AAAAAAAAAAAAAAAAAAAAAAAAATAGGGCTGGGGATGTAGTTCAGAGGTGCAGCACCTGCCTGGCAAGTGTGAGGCCCTCAGCTCAATTCCTGGTATCAAAAGAGAAAAGAAAAAAAAGACCAAAATATAAAAACTAATAATAAAGCTGAGGTAGTTCATTACCACCAGATCTGCCCTACAAGAAATGCTAGAGTGAGTTCTGCAGACTGAAACAAAAGGACACTCACTGGACAGTAACTCAGAGCTATATGAGAAAATAAAGATCTCAACAAAGGCACATGCATAGCCAATTAAAAAGCTAGAATTATAACAATGGTTTGTAATGCTTTTTGTTTTCTGCATGATTTATAAGATACATTTTTATAAAAAGAATCAATCTAAAAATAGTAGTATTCTAACTTTGGTCTGTAACTCCACTTTTTATTTTCTACATAGTTTTTGTTTTGTTTTTTGTTGTTGTTTCTTGAGACAGGGTCTCACTGTGCAGTTGAGACTGACCTAGAACTCATTATGTAGCCTAGGCTGGTCCCAAACTCACAGTGGTCCTCCTGTCTCAGCCTCCCAAGTGCTGGGATTACAGGCGTGCGCCACCATGCCTGACTTTTCTACATAGTTTAAAAGATTTATAATTATAAACACATTTTTAGACACACTATGTATAAAGATGTTAATTTTGGGTTAGATTTAGCTCAGTGGCACTGTGCCTGCGCCTCGCAAGCGCAAGGTCCTGAGTACCGATCCCCAGTACCCCCCCAAAAAAAGTTAATTTTATGGCCATTACAACTTAAAGGAGTGGGGATAGAAATTTAAAAGAACAGAAATGTTATATATATTTAAGTTAAGCTGGTATAAATACAAGTTAGTGTTACAACTAAAGGATATTAAATGGAATCCACAAAGAAAAGAGCAATAGGAAAAGATAAAGAATTTAAGTATTTCACTACAAAAAAAAGCAACTAAATACTAAAGACAGTGATAAAGGAAATAGTGGGCAAAAAGCTATAATGACGTCTATAGGACACAAACACATTCAGAAGCAAAAATGACAGGAGTTGCCCTATCAGTCGGCCTTAAAACAGAAGGAACTTCTGCCACATAGCAGAGCAACGGTGCTCGCTGAGGAAGAGAAGAGGACACTGTGGCTCCTCTCAGGAGTTCCTGACAGTGATCAGAATCAGAGAGAAGCAAGCAGAGTAATGACTGTTGGGCTGGCGTTTATTTTTCATGGGTATAGTTTGGTTTATATGATAAAAAGTTATGTGCACAACAAAATGAACAAATTTAATAGCACTGGTTAAAATGGTAAGTTTTAGCTGGGCATGGTGGCACATGCCTGCAGTCCCAGCACTCGGGAGGCTGAGGCAGGGGGACTGCCCGGAGCTCAAAGTCAGCCTGGGCTACATAGTTAGCTCAAAGCCGGTCCAGGCTTCATAGTGGGAGCCTGTCTTTAAAAAAAAAAAAGGTAAATTTTTTGTTTGTTTTTTTTTGTTTTGTACCAGGGATTGAACTCTGGACCTGGCACTTGTGAAGAAGGTGGTGGAACCATTGAACTACACATCCCTGGCCCCTAAATTTTGTTATATTTATTCTGCCCTGTACCAGTTTTTAAAACTGGGAAAAAAAGAATTAAAGAGATCAGTCTGTATTATGCTAGTAAGCCTGTGAAAGAGGAAAGAAAGCAGATGCTCCAAGACAGGCAAACAGAAATGCTTCCCATAGGGAGGGTTACCACAGACTGAAAGGAGAAACGTGACATGGCGAGAACAGACAGTGTACCTGGCTTCCAGTCCAGGCCTGGCAGGTGGCTTCCCAGGTGGTGGCCGAGGCAAGAACTGTGATGAGGGTGAGCTGCTCACTGGATCTGTGCTGACCCATGAAACTGGCCTTGGGATCTTGCTCTTTCTAGCCTGAGAGAGGAGGGGTGACAGAAAGCTGTCTTCTGCAGACCTGCTCAGGGGAGCATCTACTGCCAGTCTGGAAAAGGGCATGAAGACATCCTCCTCAGAGAAGGGCACGGGGACAGCGGCCAGCTTCTCCTCCAGCACCTTCTCAGAGGCACTGGAAAGGTCGCCGAGGAGAGAGTGGAACTGCCTTTTCTCCACCAGCAGTCTCACCAGGTCTGGTTGATAAGCTTTCTTTTGGAGGAGCTTCTCTTTCGCAGAGATGGGAGAGGACGACTCGAATGCTGACTCTATCTCTTGTGCTAGAACAGGGATCCGGCTATGTCTGGTTCCAAGGGACGACCTGACCACATCCTTCCGGGCTGGGGGAGTGCACTCGTGCCGCAAAATACAATGAACCAGCTCTCCGTTTCTCAGGGCACTTTGCTCTCTTTTATCCTCTTGGTGCAGTAAAGCAGAGAGGCCTCCTTGATGCTCTGGCAGGTCTTCCGTCTTGAGGTCATCATCCTCGGATGGCCTGCTTTTCTGCATTGCTGCCACCTTCCCCTGCTGTCCTTCAACATGTGGGTCAATGACTCTCGGAGCGAATTCAGAAGTTCCAACTGCCAGGAGCTTCATGATCTCCTGATTTCTGTCCTGATCTGGCACCACACTGAAGGTCTGTGTCCTGGTCTCCTCCAGAGGGTCAGCAGTAGTGGAATGATCCTTTGCCACAGTGACCGTGTCTCCTTGGAGGGCAACCTCAACACAGTGCTCTTCTTTACTTAGCTCCGCATCTTCAGGGCCTGACCCTAGAAGAAAGCTTTTCTCTTCAGTTTCTACAGTGAAATTCTCAAATCCCCTCGCAACTAGTCTGTCATCCTCAGGAAGGTCTTTTGGTCCCAGGTCCTGAGATCTGTCACTCTCTCTAACACGGGGAGACATGTCTTGGCCAGCATGATCTATCTGAAGCCCTTCACCCTCCGTCACAACCAAGCCAGAGAAGTTCTCCCTTGGAGAGTAAAGTTCCACAGTAGGCTCCATGGGCTGAAGATCCTTCTTTTCCAGATGCTGACCACAGTGAAAGCTCCCTGAGGTTGACTGTGTTGATGCCACAGAAGGTCTAGGAATTGTGATCTGGAGAGGGGGAGAAAAAAATGAAAACACAATTTGTGAAATATCAATCAAGATACATGATTTCAGACTTAATTTTCAAACCCCAGTTTAGAAGAGGAATTTAGATGTTGACCGCATCTACCCAATTCATACTAAAAATAAGCAATTATGGGTTGGGGATTTAGCTCAGTGGTTCCACTGCCTGCCTCACAAGTGCAAGGTCCCAAGCTTGATCCCCAGTACCAAAACAAACAAACAAAAAAACAAAAGCAAGCAATTATAAGGTAGATGTGGTAACACATTCCTATAATCCCAGCTCTCGGGAGGTTGAGGTAGGAGGAACATGGCAAGTTTAGGGCCAGCCCAGGCCAGAGTGAATTCAATACCAGCCTGAACTACAAAGCAAGACCCTGTCTCAAGAAAATAAAAACAAACACAAACAAAGACTCAATACCTAGTCCCTAAGACACCCAAGGTTTGCTCACCTTGACATTTGTTAAATAGCAACAATTAGAAAAGTTGAAAATAACTCACAAAACCACCCTCTTTTTTATTTTTATAGACAGGGTCTCACCATGTAGTCCAGGCTGGCCTTGAATCCAGACTCTTCCTGCCTCAGCTTCCTGAGTGCTGAGATCATAGCTGAGCACCACTACCCAGAGGAAAAAAACCTTCTTAAGAAATCAAATAATGGTGTTAAGTGATTGGGTTTAAATTATAAGAAAAACTATAGGAACTGATCTGAATTCCAAACCAAATTAATTTGGAGCCTCTTTGGAAGATCTATCTTCAACTCAATCTCTAGTGCAAAGATACAGGTGTGGCACCAGTCAGTGAGATATCTCAGGTCTAGCTCATTAGGCTGGGGACAAGGCCTGATCTATGAGCAGCCCACGGAGAGGCCACCGAACCCTACAGTAGCTTCCAGATGGCATGGGGTACTGAGTGTGTTCCAGGTTCCTCTGTGCAGTGAGTGCAGATGGAATGTGAGTTTGGGAAGAGCACACGACTTGAGGTCACCCTGGGAGGTCATCTCGTACTTCAGTCTTTCTCAATGCCAAAATACAGTCCAACAGATGGCAATTTTTCTAGTATTTTAAAAGTACTGAAATCTAAAATTTATAGTAATTTACTTTGCGGTGGTACTGGAGAGTGAACTCAGGGCCTTTTCACTGAGCTACATATACAGACCTTTAAAATATTTTCTTAATTTTTGAGACAGAGTCTAAGTTGCTAAGTTGTCCATGCTGGGCTTGAACTTATGATCCTTCTGCCTCAGCCTCCCAGAGTGTGGTTATTACAGATATGGGCCACCACTCCTAGCCTAAAAGTTACTTAAGACCCAAAAGTGACAATGATTAAAAAAAAGAGCAGATATTAAATTATATAATAACAAAGGATATTCAAAATAATCATATTCAAAATAAACCAATATTAGTCATCTAATTATTATATATAAAGTACATCTGTCAAAATACAAAGGGCCAGGGATTTAACTCAGTGATGCCAACACCTGCCCTGTGCTTCCTGGGTTCCTTGTGCTTTCCCGGTACCAAAAAAACCCAAAAAATGAACTCAGTGGTGTTTTGTTTTGTTTCTGAAATAGGGTCTCATTATGTAGTTCAGAATGGCCTGGGACTCACTATGTAGGCCTCAAACTCACTATATTGGCCTCAAATGCACATCTTCCTGTCTCAGCTTCTTGAGTGCTGGGTTTACAGGCATGTGCCATCATGCCCAGCCTCAACAGTATTTAGAAGAAAAATACTGGTCTTTTGAGACTGAAGCTAGAATTAATTTCTATAGGTCTGCGATTAACTCATTTTAGATTAGAATATAAATGTATGTGTATGCATGGTATTAAAAAAGAAAAAGGAGCCAGGCATGGTGGTGTACCCATGTAATTCCAGCAATTGGGAGGCTGAGGCAGGAGGTTTGCCATGAGTCTGGCCTAGGCTACATAGTGAGTTCAAGATCAGCTTGAACTACATATCGAGACCCTGTCTCAATAAACAAATAAACAAACAAATAAATAAATAAAAATAAAGCCAGGCACGGTGGCATGACTGTAATCTCACTCAACATTCTGGGAGGCTGAGGAAAGAAAATCACAAGCCCAGTGTAGGCAAATTAGTGAGACTGCATCTCCCTCGCCACCTCCCCAGTGCCAGGGATCAAACTTAGGACCTTGTGCTTGCAAGGCAGATACGGCGCCACTCAGTTAAATCCGCAGCCCTCATATCTCAAATTAAAAATAAATGAATAAATAAATCTGGAGACGTAGTTCTGTGTGAAGACCCCAGGTAAGTACCAAGAAACATAAACAAACATGCTGTACATACATATGCAGACAGGATCATTTATTTTCCTGAAAATATTGAGCAATTATAACCTGCATACGTTACTCTATTTCCACATAAATTTATAAGATATTCCTAAATAATTTTACAAATTCCATTTTATAGCTTACATATATATTTTATTTTATATACACAAATCTGTATCTATATATAGATATATATTTTGAGACAAAGTCTCACTATGTAACCAGGCTGGCCACAAATTTGCAATTTTCCTGCCTCAGCCTCCCAAGTGCTGAATTACAGGTGTGTTCCACTGCAGCTTCCCCTTTCCCTAATATTCCTTGCTTTCTACTTTCGTGTCTGTTTGAAAAAACATTATCTTTTTGTCTCTTAAAGATTGTAATGGTACTAAGATAAAAACTTGGGAGAAATTTAACATTCACATCAATAGATTTTCTTACAAATAAGGGTATGTGGTATATAAAATACCAGTATTTCACACTGGTTTTATGGACAAAGAAAATAATTTAGAAGAGATATAGGGAGTGAAATAATTTTCTGGTTCCTAATATAGCCAAGAATTAGCTCAGTTATAGAAACAAATTCCTTTCAAAAACTTCACATACACACACAAAAAAACAAACAAACAAATTCCTGGCCTATTAAGTAAATTAACTTTTATTTATTCAAATGTCTTGGGCCAAATTGCACTATATGCATCTTCTTTTTTTGGTCTTGTTTCTGGGTTGGTTTTTTTTGTTTGTTTGTTTGTTTGTTTTTTTTGCTACCAGGGATCGAATGTGGGACCTTGCCCTTGTGAGGCAGACAGCGGAACCACTAAGTAAATCCCCGTCCTTGTTTTTGTTCTTTTTGAGAGAAGGTGTCCCTATGTGGCTCAGGCAGGCCTCAAACTCATGGCCCTCTTGCCACAGCTGCCTGTGTTCTAGAATTGCAGGTGTGGGAAGAGCAGGAGAATGGAGAAGGAGTAGTCTTTGCTACAAAATTGGGTAAAACTGAAAATCTAAAGCTTCAAGGTCAAAGGAAACAAAAAATGAAAAATAATTTTTCCCGTTCCTTTTTTTTTTTGGTATTGGGAATCCAACTCAGGACCTCACACTTGCCAGGCAGATGCTATGCCACTGAGCTACATTCCAGGATATATTTCTTTTTAAATAAAAACAACCCTACAGGGCTGGGGATTTAGCTCAGTGGTTCCACCACCTGCTTCACAAGCCCAAGGTCTGGAGTTCCATCCCCAGTACCAAAGAAAACAAACAAAAACAACATTTATTGCCAGTGCAGTAATAACAGAAGAGTAATCAAAACAATATGGAAAATGTTTTACAAATACTCCCAAGGCAAACCACTTAAATGGCTACATTTTTCACATGCTACCATAATTGCCAGTGCCACCACCTCACTTCACCACTGTCTTCTTAATTCACTGGTCATTTCTAGTCGGAGACATTTTGTAGCAGAGTAATATTGTCTCCTTTCAGCATGATCCCACCCAGTCGTTTTCCTGACTTGGTTTTAGAACAAATTTCTTCTGCATCATCTAGTACAAGGTTCACGTGCTCATGAAGCCAATAATACAGCCCTCTCCTGAAATATTCACTAGCTGTCAGAACCACACCCGAACCTGGGATGTATACATTCTGCAAGTATCTGAACAGGAGGCTGACGGGATACACTGCCACCTTCTCCACTTTCTGGCCCTGCCCTGGTACGCCAGGGCTTCCCTTCCCTTGTTTGTTTGTTTGTTTGTTTGTTTTTGTGGTACAGGGGATTGAACTCAGGACCTTGTGCTTGCCAGGTAGGTGTGGTGCCACTGAGCTACATTTTTAGGAGGGGCTGCAACTCAATGTTGTAGGGTACTAAAATCATAAGCAACTCACAACTTGACTAGATTTCAGCCCCCTTGTCTAGTCTGTTCAAATACAAAAAATCTGCATGACTGCAAAGCAGTCCTGGGAAAGAGAAAAACTAACCAGCAAAATTCTGGCTGGAGAAGTAAATAGGTACTTCTTTATTTTCGAACACTGGCAAATTCCTCCAGAAGAGTACACAAAATGAAGCTTCATCAGTAACTTTTCCTACTGTTTCGCACCTGCATGTGAAGTTGTGTTCCCACAGGAAATATTTCAGCTTGGGTAACCATGCTGCATCTAGAGAGTCTGAAGGGAGGGCTGCTTGATAGCTGGGGACACTTGGTGACTCCCACCTATGCTCTGACTGAAGGACCTCTAAGGCTCCTTGTTGTCTGGGGGCTCTACAGGCCTGTGCTGGCCATCCCTGGCCTTTCTGGGGGCTCCCCCAGCTCACAGGCACAGGGAGAGAAAGCACTCCTGATGACAGAGGGCTAAGTGGCTCCCCCACTACACACACTGAGACGGGCAGCAGGGTTTCCTCTGAGGGGTCCTCTGAAGACTGGTATTACCACTGCTTCCACCTGCTTATCAAAATGTAGACTCACTCGATTCCAGACCTATGAAAGCAGAAATTCTGCTAGGAGGACCAAAATGCTACATTTTATTTATTTTTATTTTTTTGGTACCGGGGATCCAACTCAGGACCTTATGCTTCCAAGGCAGGCTAAGTGCCACTGAGCTAAATCCCTGGCTTCCTGATTGACTGAATGATTGATTGATTTTTAAGGCAGAATCTTGCTATATACTTCAGGCTGACCTTGAACTCACTATGTAGTCCAGGCTGGCCTCAAACTTGTGAGGATCCTCCTGCCTCAGCCTCCTAAGTGCTGAGATTACAGGTGTGTGCCACCATGCATAGCCTGAAATGCTATATTTTAAACAGTGGGTGTTGAAGCTGAAAAACTATAATAGGATGTAAAACAGGAGCAATTTCTGGGTGGAGATTATACAAGTAGGCTTAGGCTTAGTAACAACATACACAATAAAAACAAACTTCCAACAGTTAAATATAAACCCTCCTCATCTAATATATAATAAAAATCTCTAGGATTATAAATATTTTAGAAATCATATGTATACACACAATTGTAGGATCTAATCATAAACGTTATTTCAAAATTAGATGATGTCACTTCATGTACAGAGTTTAATGTTATGAAAATAGGGTGTGGTGACACACACTTGTAATCTCAGCACTTGGGAAGCTGAGGCAGGAGGATTGCCAGGAGTTTGAGACCAGCCTGGGCTACAACGGTGAGTTTGATGCCAGCCTGGACTACATAGTGAGACCCTGTCCTAAAAAAAAAAAAAAAAGAAAGAAAGAAATAAAAAGAAAGACAAAACTTCCAAAAAGTCGTATTTGTGTGAGGCATGGCAGCACATACCTACTGCAATACCAGCACTCAGGAGGCTGAGGTAGTTCAAGGGCAGCTTGAAATACATACAGAGACCCTGTCTCAAAAACATTAAATAAATAAATAAATAAATGGAAAAAAGAAGAAGAGAGAGAGAGAAAAAAAGAAAACTCATTTAAAAACATTTCCTACTGGAGGGCTGACTATATTATTACCATACCTGTTAGACAAATTTAAGCCTCTGTCACGGAATCTGAGGTGGTCAACTGACTGTAAGTTTTCTGTCAGTAGCACCAAGAGTGGGTAAACAGAGTAATAATGGAATAAGTCTCTTACCGCGGTCAAGGGCCCTTCTGCTTGTGCTTCCATTGGACTTGTGGGTGTTGCAGCAATAAAATGACTAGCAGCCCCAGCCTGGAGCTGCAGTCTGTTTGTGCACTGTTCTGAAGGAGCTGTGGCAGGGCACTCTGCAGACAGTGCTAAGACCACACCTGTCGGTTCCTTCCCTAAGAGATCGTTTCCTGCCCAAGGACCTAACTGTAGCTCTTCCTCTTGGGGTGATTCCTCCAGAACTTGAAGCTCTTCGGGCTCCTCATCAGAAGGACTTCCGGTTGTTTTATGACCTAAAGCCTCGTGTGTCCTAAATTCCTGAAGGTCTTGCTCCTTGTCCACAATCACCCATTCTCTGGAGTCAACTTCTTGCTTGCAAGAGCTCAGGTTAACAGCTATAAATCCATTGCTGCCCCCACCATCGGCCTGCTCGGGGGTGTTGGCAGAGGCAGGCTTGGAGGCATCCGGGAGATACTCTTCGTCATAGTGCCAGATGTGGTCCATGCGGGACCCAGCAGGGAGGCAAGGCTTCTGAAGCAGAGCAGGGACAGCAGATCCCTTTCCTGCACTAGAATCTTTCTGCATCTTCTCCAGGCTTAAGAAAAAGGAGAAAAATGACTCAACATGTATCATCTAACCCATAAACTCTATACAGAATTACTACTCAGAGAAGGAAGAAACCATATTACAAAGTGTAAGGAGAGCTTCACAGGGCTGAAATGTTCTCCACCTGCCATGGTCCTACTCTGTAAGGTGGAGCTCAGGTCTTTCTCCAAATGGCCCTTTCTACTTCTCTTTTTTTTGTTAGATTAATTATTCACCAAACCAAGCATTTATCCCTACTGCACTCTTTATATTACCCTTTATCTTAGCCACAATTCAAAATGTTTGAAAACATTGTCTCTGTTGTAGTGCACCCCCAGCCCCACCCAGCTTCCAACACTAGAACTGAGCCCAGAGTCATTGCACAGAGCAACACCACCAGCCATTTTTTGCTTTCCAGGTACTGGGCATTGTGCTTGCCAGGCAGGTGTGGCACCGCTGAGCTACATCCCTGACCCTACTTTTAATTTGTTATTTTAAGACAAGGTCTCACTAAGTACTAAATTTCCTGGGCTTAGACTTTATGATCCTCCTGCCTTAGCCTCCCAGATTGCTGGGATTACAGGTGTGCACCACCACACCTTTATCTTTCTTTCTTTCTTTTTTTTTTGGTACTGGGGATCAAACTCAGGACCTTGTGCTGAGCTAAATCCCCAGCACCAGTGCATCTTTTTGATCACATCAATATTTAGACACACAGTTGAATCACAGAGCTACAAAACAAAATGACTGCCATGTGAGGAAGAAAACACAGATGGGAAGTACTGTTTAAAATGGAAATGGAGGCCAGGCATGGTGATGGACACCTGTAATGTCAACTGAGGCAGTAGGATCACTTCAAATTCAAGGCCAGCTTGGGCTACATAGTGAGACCCTACCTCAAAGAACCAAAACCACATGAACAATACATACATACATACATACATACATACATACATACATACATACATATGATAAAATGGAAATAGGATTTAGCTTAATGCAGTCCAAACACTAGTATTGCTAAATAGGTAAGAAACTAGGGAAGGCCAGAAGAGGCTAAACTGTCTTAAATAATTGGTCCTTCTAACCTTTCACTGCCACCAGAGTAGCCATCAGAGATATACCACTAAAGAATATAAATATTTAAGGTACTTATGTCTTAATTTTTGAAGCCTTCTATATTCATACCAAACTCTTTTATTCATTCATTCATTCATTCATTCGGTATTAGGGACTGAACTCAGGACCTTGAGCTTGCAAGGCAGGTGGTAGCACCACTGAGCTAAATTCCTAGCTCATACCAAATTCTTTTAAAGTTTCATATGTCTTTTTGTTTGTTTGTTTGTTTTTTTGAGACAGGGTCTCACTATGTAGTTGAGACTGACCTGGAACTCACTATGTAGCCCAGGCTGGTCTTGAACTCACAGCGATCCTCCTGCCTCAGCCTCCGGTGTGCTGGGGTTACAGGCGTGAGCCACCACGCCCAGCTTCATATAGCTCTTGTTACCAAATTACAGAGATAATATGATTTATTAATCCTGAGGTATAAATAGTCATGACCTATCTTTGTACAATGCTCCAGTTTCATCTTTCCTAACAACTCTCATAACCATAGGATTTGCTACAGCATTTGTGTTATTAGAAAATGATTCAATTAAGAGTTAGGATGGGCCCAGGATTTAGCTTAATGGTTTCACCACCTGGCTTACAAATGCAAGGTCCCAAGTTTGATCCCTGATACAAAAAAAAAAGTGGATGATGATGATGATAAGTATAGACATGGATGAAAAATGAGGGCTTAATGAAGTCAAACTTATAAAAATCTAAAAATTTCTTAAAAACTTTACATAATAGAAATACTAACTTCCAAGAAAATGGCAGAGTGGTGAACAGCAGAGAAACAGCCTTTCTGACATTTGGATTCCAGATGATGTAACATAGTAACATGAGCAAGAGAAGAAGGCAGGAAGAGGGTCCAAAGGACCCAGCAAGGATGTGAAGTGAGGATTGAAGCCCAAAGGAAGAACGAAGAAAGAGAGATCTCAACACAAAAGGAGGAGGGAGCAAGTGGTGCTTTCTCCCTCCACCCTGATTCACTGCATGGGAGAGGTGGCTTAACCATCAGATCCACTGTGACTACTGGGAACCCAAGGCCTCCAAAGAGAAAAATGAAGGGGAACAGAGCAGTGTACACAGCAGACTGCAATGACTGGTGAGTTATTTGGGTTTAGATATCACGTAGTAGAGGGCAACTGGCCAGAAGCCATGTTGGAGGGGGCCAAATGAGCTGGGAACCCAGAGCTGTGGGCAGACTCCATCAGGGTGAGGCAGAACCAATTTGAAATTGGCAGGATGTCAAGAAGCTGACTCCAAGCCAAAGGGAGCTTAGTCGGGCTAAAGCCAGCAGGAGGTACACAGAATGCCGCAGGCTGAACAAATCGAGTTCCAGCCTCACAACCAGAAACCAGCTTGAACTTCAGTGGAACTAAAGAAGCAGGCTTGCTGGGATTACCCACTACCCCATCATAAAGCTATGGCTGGCTTCCTGGGATTAATCAACATAGATTGGGGATCTGTCTGCCTTCTCTGCCTACCAGTGATAGCAGAAACATGACCTAAAGTGGACGTATTTTTTCTTCTTCTTTTTGTTTTGTATTGATTTCTGTTTTTTCTTTTCTTTTTTCTTTTTTGGTACTAGAGATAAAACTGAGGACACCTTATGCTTGCAAGGCAGGCAGAGGCACCACTGAGCTAAATTTCTGGCCCCTGTTCTTATGTTTTTATTATGAGTGTGAACATTGTTTCTAGTTTGTTTGTTGTTTTCATTTCTTTCTTCTCTCTTTCCCTCCTGTCTTCTTCACCAGTTTCCCAAAATTCACATAATCTTCCTTTGTCCTCCAGCATTGCTTCTAATCTCATCTTTTTTTTTTTTTTTTT